GAGGAACTGAGAACCCTGTTCACCCCTCACAGCCAGAGGAAGAAGCAGAAGCAACAGGCACATAAGCCTTTGGACACTGAGGCCAGTGGTCTAACCCAGGGGCTGTCCCACTTGCTTTGGGCAGTTGCCTCCTTCCACTTTCATAATCTTTTGGGCAGCAGGTTAAACCATTTTGGTGGCCAGGGACAGTGGCTCAGGCCTGTAATCCCAGCACTTTGGGAAGCTGAGGCGGGTACATCACCTGAGGTCAGGAGTTTGAGACCAGGCTGGCCAACATAGTGAAAGCTCGTCTTTACTAAAAATACAAAAAATGAGCTGAGTCTGTTGGTGGGCACCTGTAATCTCAGCTACTCAGGAGGCTGAGGCATGAGAATCACTTGAACCTGGGAGGTGGAGGTTGCAGTGAGCCAAGATTGCACCACTGCACTCCAGTCTGGGTGACAGAGCAAGAGCCTGTTTCAAAACAAACAAACAAAAAAAACGTTTGGCTATTGTGATCCTGTAACTTAGGGAAGGGAAGACTGAGAGGTAGGGGGCTGTCAGGGGGTAGAGAGGATGTTACTGGCTGGGGAAGAGGGGATGGATGATGCAGAAGTCACAAACTGGTAGCTCAAGGGCTGAAACTGATCCTGCCTTTTTTTTTTTTTTTTTTTTTTTGAGACAGAGTCTTATTCTGTTGCCCAGACTGGAGTGCAATGACACAATCTTGGCTCACTGCCACCTCCGCCTCCTGGCTTCAAGTGATTCTCCTGCCTCAGAGGAATAGGGGAGTTGAATAGCAGTGGGGCTTCAGGTGAACCCCAGGAAGAGAGAATAGCAGTGGGGATTGAAGCGAACCCCAGGCTAACTAGGAGGGCTCCTAAATGCAGATGGAGGGAGGAAGGCAAGGGGTCCTAGACCACTGCTCTAGTGATGAAGGAGCCAAGCACAGACCAGGCCTTAAGAGGTAGAGAAGATGCCTTCATTTTTATTCAGAATTGAAATAATCAACAGTTTAACTTCTTTGGTCCAATTTCTGGGTATGGCAGGTGCAACCTTAAAAGGGTCTCAGGTTTGGACAGTGGAAGACTCAAATGGAGATCCTGTTCTCTGCAGTCAGACCAGGACAGCTTGCATCTATCCGCTCAGGGCTCCTACCCAGCCACCCTGGGCTTGGGGCTAGGTCTGAACCCTTCTCTTCCTCCATTCTGTCTTCCTCAAAATACATCATGTGTGGTTGGGCTATAACCAGCACTGTCATCAAACAAGCATGGAGCCTTACAAGGGCACTGGAAAGACGATTTTGTTTTTTTGAGACAGAGTCTTGCTCTGTCGCCCAGGCTGGAGTACAATGGCACAATCTCAGCTCACTACAACCTCCGCCTCCTGGGTTCAAGTGATTCTCTTGCTTCAGCCTCCCAAGTAGCTGGGACTATAGGTGCACACCACCATGCCCAGCTAATTTTTGTATTTTTAGTACAGATGGGTTTTCACCTTGTTGGCCAAGATGGTCTCAATCTCTTGACCTCATGATCTACCTGCTTCAGCCTCCCAAAGTGCTGGGATTACAGGTGTGAGTCACCATGCCTGCCGGACTTTTTTTTTTTTTTTTTTTTTGAGACGGGGTCTGGCTCTGTCACTGAAGCTGGAGTGCAGTGGTGCATTCTTCGCCCATTGCAACCTCTGCCTCCCAGGTTCAAGCGATTCTTGTGCCTCAGTCTCCCAAGTAGCTGGGATTACAGGCATGTATCACCACAACTGGCTAATTTTTGTGTGTATATATATATTGTTTTTATTGATATGGAGTCTCACTCTGTTGCCCAGGCTGGAGTGCAGTGGAACAGTCTCAGCTCACTTGTAACCTTTGCCTTCCCGCTCAAGCAATTGTCCTGCCTCAGCCTCCTGAGTAGTTGGGATTACAGGCGCCCACCACCATACCCAGCTAATTTTTGTGTTTTTATTAGAGACCGGGTTTCACCATGTTGTCCACGCTGGTCTCAAACTGCTGACCTCGGGTGATCCGCCTGCCTCAGCCTCCCAAAGTGCTGGGATTATAGGCGTGAGCCACCATGCCCGGCCAATTTTTTTTTTTGTTGTTTGGTTTGTTTTTAAAAGAAACCAGGAGGAACCCGGGGCCGCAAGTGTCTTTGAAGTGTCAATGATCCCTCAATTCACATTAATTCTCGCAGCTAGCTGTGTTCTTCATCAATGTATGAGCTGAGTGATCCACCACTAAGACAATTTTTGTGTTTTTAGTAGAGACGGGGTTTCATCATGTTGCCCAGGTCTCGAACTCCTGACCTCAGGTGATCCGCCTGCTTCGGCCTCCCAAACTGTTGGGATTACAGGCGCGAGCCCCCACGCCTGGCTAATTATTATATTTTTTAGTAGAGATGGGGTTTTTCTACATTGGCCAGGCTGGTTTCAAACTCCTGCCCTCAAGTGATCCCCCTGCCTTGGCCTCCCAAAGTGCTGAGATTACAGGCATGAGCCACCACACCCGGCCAAAAAGATGATTTTAAAAATGGACTGGGTGGTTTGAAGGAAGGGCAAGGAAGCCCCATTTAGAGGTCTGGTAAAACAAACAAACAAAAAAACCAAAAAAAATACATATAATGCCTCAATTTGCCTTCAGGAGGGAAATCTTGCCCCATCCCCTTTTCTTCCAGGCATGGAATCCTAGTTTCTGGGATAATGAGCCCAGTGTCGAGTGTCAGCTGGACAGAGAGCAGGGGCACAAGGAGTGGCCTTTGGTACAAATGACGGTGGGGATGGAAGAGGGCAGAGGAGGAACCACACATGTGGGGCCCCCACCCTTGATCTGCACCCAGATTTTCATCAAGGGCCCATCAGGATCAGGTGTCTGTGGGAGCCTCTTGCCTAGGGTGAGCTTAGACTGCATTACTCCTTCAACAGCTCCCCTGCAACTCTCAAACAAAGGATAGGTTAAAGCCAGAGGAGGGCCAATTGGCCCGTAAGTCTTTCTGTGCTTTCTTGGTGCCATCGCTCGGCTAGGCAGAATACATTCTCTTGCTCCCTAACTCAGCCATCCCATGGGAGACAGAGATGATCAGATGTAACTTTTGAACCCCCATCTCACTGAAGAAGGGAAATCCTACAAGGGAAATGCTCGTCCTGCCCAGCTGGCAGCTGGCACCTTCATTTCCAAACGATGCTGCGGAGTCAGGTCAGTTTCTGTACTGGAAGCATAAAGCACGTGGCTTGGAATCAGCTCCCAGGAAAGGATCCTTCTTTGTGCCTGAGAGCAAAGCCAAGGAAAACGTGGGAGAAAGAGGTCACTTAGTTAATATTCCCCTTCTCTCCACCAATCCCCTTATTCAGAACACAGCAAGGCAGTTTTCTAGTCATGTAGTCCAAGCATGATGCAGTCCAAGAGATGCAGAGCCGAGGGGCTGAGGAAGAGGCTTCTGTGCCAAGCTGGATTCAGCTGGTGGTCTAGTATTGTCCACAGGGCTTCAGTAGTGGTAAGAAAGGCCCCCTGCTTATTAACGAAGAAGTAAAGGGCAGAGAACCTGGATCCATCTGAGACCCGTGGGCTTTTTACTTTTTCAGCCGTTTGCGGGTTGACTGGCTCTAAGGAAAAGCCGTTTGCTGGCAGACACAGGTGGCTCGTGACAAAGGGGAGTGGATAGCTCAAAACGAGCCTCACCACTCCTGAACAGACAGCGATCCCGGCTGTGTCCTTTTGAGGGTGAGTAAAAGCACATGTTGTCCTCTACCTGCTTGAAGCAGACTTGCCTGTCTCTTCAGGGTGGATGCTCTTCAGGGCCCCGTGGGGCTTAAACACATGTACTCAGCTAGCTCCAATCTTTTTTTTTTTTTTGAGACGGAGTTT